TGCATTTATTATGAGGCAGCTCTAGTTAAAGAAAAAAATGTGGATCCTATTTTTAGGAAATATCACTACATTAGTATTTATTGATGCAAAAGTATGTGCAAAATCTGAAACATTTAGGGGCCGGCCTGGTGGCGCACTGGAGAGTGCGCTGCTTGGGAGTGCGGCGGCGCTCCCACCGAGGGTTCGGATCCCATGTGGAGACCGGTTCCCGCTCACTGGTTGAGCGCAGTGCGGGCGCAACACCGAGGGTTGCGATCCCGTTGCCGGTCCCCAGTGAGGGCGTGACACCGAGGGTTGCGATCCCGTTACCGGTCAGTAAAAAAGATAAAAAAAGGAAAAAAAAAAAAAACTGAAACATTTAGGATGGCTAATTCCTTTTTTTGTTGTTGTTAGAAATCTACTCTCTTTGTATCAATAGGATCCTGATTTCTGATCTCCTAAGTGTATTTCTGAAATTGTGATAATGATGAAGGTAGAATTTACTAATAGATTTTTAGTTGCCATGATCTTAAATAAGTATATAAAATGTTTCCTTCTATTGAGAGCACCACATTTTTGATAAAATATTTGGTAAAAGCTAAGGGGCATGCTCTTGTTTTGTGACTTTTTGTATAATCCAAAGTGGAAATGATACACTTTGATTTGACTAACTCAATGTGAATCATTTAAAAGAGTTTGAATGTTAATTTTAATGCCTGCTATTGATTTTGCACAAATGCATAATCTAAACAAATTTTTGTTTGATGCTTTCCATAAGAGTCATTACATATTTCACACCTTCTAGGGACTTCAGCATTTGCATAACAACAAAACTATCCACCGTGATGTGAAAGGAAATAACATTCTGTTGACCACTGAAGGAGGAGTTAAACTAGTAGATTTTGGTAAGTTTTGTGTAAAATTTGAGGGGCATAATAATATGATTTGATTATTTTCCAACAGCCTTGCTTTCTAGACATTGAAAATAGTGAAAAATCAGTATTTCACTGAGGTAAGTGCAGAGATAATTTGGCAAATGAAAGTTTCCGAGAAGAAAGAGTGACTTCTTTCAAGTCAGCTAGGTTGTGCCCATATAACACTAATGTAGCAATGCATGTAGTTGATCCTCCAAAACACACAGCGTCGCGAATGATTACTCTAAGCCTGTAATGGTAATCCCATGGGCTCTACTAGTGATTGCTTTACAAATGGGCATATGTCCAAATCCAGGATTTTGAGATGTGCGGGGAAATCTTCAAGGGTCCTCATCTGGGAATATTTCCTCCCTCCTAAGAAGGAGACAGAGGGAAAGATGGTCTCTTTCTTCCTCAAGACCTTGTGTGTCTTATTGTGATGCCCGAAATTGCTACAGTCACCTTATGACAAAGGTGCTCCATCCTGAGTGGAAAGCCAACAAAGGCAGAGCTGAGAGAGGGGAAAAATGAGGGCCCTTGGTGACAAAATTGAGCCATTCAACTTTGGGGCCTGCCCTATCTCTGGACCTTTTGTTATGTAAGATAATGAATTTCCTTATTTACTAAGCCAATTTGGGGTTTCTGTGTTATAGTCAAAGGCACTGTAGCTGATACACCTACCCTTCATCTGGGCAGTTATTTTCCAGTTGTGATTAGTGCTCTCCTGTGCATTCTCTCATTTGATCCCTGCTAATACACTAATCCTGTGAGAACAGGTGACAGTATTCTAGGACATCTAAGTATCCTTCAGTCATCTGTCCCCTTCCCTTCCTCTGAACTCTAGCCAGGTAAGGAGTCCCTCCTTGTGCTTCTGTACCCTCTGTATTTCTCCATTTTTTGCATTTGTCACATAGATTTATAATTATCTATTTGGTCTTTATAAATGGATAAAGATACTTAGAAACATAGGTGGACAGACAGGGTCTTTGAGAAGTGGGACTATGTCTTAGTCCATTTTGTAGACCTAATGCTTTAGGAATAACAGTTCATTGAGTGTTAGTTGAATTAACGAACCTTCCTTTATTTTGCATTTTGGAAAATGAAGTTCAGGGAAGTTAACTGATTAATTTTAGAAACTGTTTTACTATCCAAGTATATAGCTCTCTAGTGTTTTGACTTAGTCCAGGAATTAAGTTCTGAGTATCTAGAGAGGACAAGGTGAACAGCATATCCTTCAAACAGGCATGTGCATGTGCAGTTTTCCTTACCTGAGCAGCAGGGAGTTTGACAGTAAGTAACAGATTAATAGCTGGGCTGTAGCTAGTAGTCTGCCTTGCCGATTGAGTCCAGAGCTACGTGTTTGAACAACCTGGCTGGGTTAGGGTACTAATAAGGACTCCTCCTTGATATTAAAAACAGCAACAGTGAAATACTCTTCATTGCTCCATAGGCAGGGCCATTATTCTTCCCAGAAAATAATTTTGGATCTGCTCTAAAGCAGACCCAAATGGAGAACCTGATATTTATCTTGAGATATCATAATTCCCTTACTCTAAAAAATGGCTACAATAAATATGGTCTAAATTGAAAATTGTTAAAACGAATGTAAGTAAGCATCTTTTCCAGCCACTAAAGAAAAATTTGGTAGACTGGTAACTTATAGATATGTAAATTCCTGGGATATCCTCCAAAATAAACTATTAAGAACATACACCTAAATAATAAATAAGGTTTTTATGTGATATTTTTATAAAAGTCATAAGTTGGACAGTTAACAATATGGGATCTTTGGTTTTGGATTATTTTATTATATTTGAAAATATTTGCGACTTTTCTTTCAGCAATAATTAGAAAAGAGGGCCAGTTGAATATTAAATGCATTCTTATTGTCTTATACTAAAATGCTATTGTTTGCATGTAAGGTAATGCTTATATTTCTATTCTCCATGGTAAGAGGACATGGTTTTAGTTTGCCTGAAATGATTAGTAGGTTTCTCACGAATTAAAACCTGAGGATAGTAGGTGCATGCATCTATAGTGAAAGTTCTTAAGCGCAGAAGGAACAAGATGTGGTAAATCACAGACTGCAGAATCAAATTGAAAATCAGTGTCCTCATTTTATGTTTAAACAAAATTTTCAGAGAAGGCTACAGCCAGAAGTAAAGCATTTTAGAATAAATTTTATTTGAATTTCTTGCCTCATTATTGGATACTGAAGATATTAGAGGGCCATAAGGTGCTTCATACGCAAAATGTCTAAAATGGGAGTCTATCGCCTCATCCATCCCCAGAAATATGCCACATATAAAGATTTCTTGTCTTAGAAAAAGTCACCTGTATCTGCTCATTTATCAAGCCAGAAATCTTAGGCTCATTCTCGAGTCTTCCCTTGTCTTCACCTCCCACATATTCAGCTAGTCACAAAACCTGTCTTTCTGTTAGATTCCCCTAGACTCCATCTTACTGCTCCTACCCTAGTCCTAGCCCTTCTCATCTCTTGTCAAAGATCCTGCAGTTACACTTTACTGGAGCCAACCAAAGCCTTAATCTGCCAGGAGGAACTACAGGAAACTCCATCTGCGTGAGAAGAACAGAGCACAAGTTCAATGGATGCAGATGCTGGCATGGGAGATGAGTAGGGCACTAGCAGCTAGACAGACAAAAGCAGATGGCCCCGAAGACTATATGGGCCCAACACACCCAAGGACCCTTTCTCTTCTCCCTGCACAAGGTCTTATAAGAAGAAGGAGTGCCATCTGAAAGATGGAGCAAACACCTTTATCCAAGACAGACTGAAGTCTAAAAGGACTTACAGATTTTTTGGATCTGACTGACCCTTACTTCCTTCCCATTCAGTGAGTAGAGTCTTGGGGAGAGGCCATAACCATTACAGACAAAATGAAGAAATTATAATTTCTCTGTGTGTCTAAGAGTAGATATTGAATTTTGTGACCAGTTGCAAACATGATGCTTTCCCTACCTAGAAACCTCCCCTCATCTCTGCACTCGGCTAACTTCCACTTGCCTGACTGAGTGCTTGCCCAACACCTTATAATTCATGTAGCCAGCAGTCGTCAGATTTTATTGTAGTCATGTGCTTCTCTGTTAAGCTATAATCTTGACGATGACAGGGTCTTTGTCTTGCCCATCTCTTTGTCCCTAGAACCAAGCATGGTTCTGGCAAACTGAAAATGCATGCTTGATAAATACTGTTTAGTTAATGAATGAGAGGGGGTATTTTCCCAATTGTGTGATCATGAGAAAGTCACTTAAAATCTCCAAGGGCATCAATCTACTCATCTACAAGTGTGAAAAAGAATAGTCTCCACCTCATAAGGTTGGTTGCTGTGAAGAGTAAATGAGATAGTAGAGGTAAACTACTTAGTGTAATTACTGACACTTTGTAATTCAGAAAATCTGAGCTATTACCATTATCATAAAATAATATTTCCACCTCACCTTTAGCTCGGTACTGTACACATATTAGGTGCTTAATAAACAGTTGCTAAATAATGAAAATCTGAGTTCCCAAAACAAGTGCCTCTGTATGTTTAAAAAAAAAATAGCCCTTTCCTGTAGTAAATTCAGTGTTACTTTAAATGTCAAGCTACTTAATTACACTAATAGTAAGAGGCGGTTTGCTGATACGAGTTCGGAATACAGCCTTTAAGAAAGGCTTTTGGGTTTTGTTGTTGTTGTTGTTAAATGGGATACACTTTTACAGAAAACCACTAGACACCTCGAGAGCAAAAAGACAAGTAAGCTTGTAAACGTTATTAATGAAATGCATTAGCAGTCACTGGTATATGATCAGTCAATAAATATGACCTCCCAGGAGATAAGCCCCTTTAGGCAAGTCAACTAATGTCTGAAATAGCAGTCCTTACCTTGAAAAGAAAATGAAAGAGAGACTAAATTTAAAGAGCAGTCCTCAGTTCTCATTTCTGTGGATTTCCCTCTGGGGAACTTTATTTCTAACAGGATAGCTAACATTTCAATACAAAAGTACAGAATGTACTTTTTGTGATTTATTTAGACGTCATTCTTATGACAGAATATTTTATGGCTTTAAGTCTCTTACCACCCACATGCCCAATTTTAAACCAAATCCCCAATGCGTGATGTAGGTCATAAAGAAGATGTGATTTATTTATTAATAACCCATTTTTTATCATCAAGTGAGGCAGGTAAGCCTGAACTTAAAAACTATGAAGTACTCTTTATTCCTTCCTTTCTTCCTGAGTAATTGAGAACAAAAGCCACTATGTGGGACAAGCAAGCGTGGGAGTGGGAGGTGCGGTTTGGCCCACAGTTTGGTGTCAGAAGGCAACAGTGAGGAGTAAAGAGGGCATCCATTCTGGGGGGTGTTGGTAGCGGTAGCCTGGCAAGGGGTGCAGGGTCCCCAAGTGGAAAGAGAAAGCATCCATATAGGGTGACGGTGGTGACAACAGGTGGGTTCTGAGACCTAGAGTGAAGTGAGGAGGGCGTCCGCACAGGGGTCAGAGTGGAGACAAGAGATGGGCTATGTAAAGGAGGATTTATAATATTAGGAAATACACTGAGGACAATGGGAGCCAGGTTTCTTATTGTTGGAGAAAAGAATTACAAATATGAAAAGGGAGAAAACTGAACCTGTGGTGTTGGGTTAGAATTGGAGGTATCAATGTGAATTAATGGTTTTCAATATATATAAACAGATATAAAAATAAATATAATGTAGTATGCCTGTGGTGTTGGTGGGTGTTGTGGGTGGGTATGGCTGTGTGTATGCACGTGTGTACATATTACCAGCTGTTGCCACTAAGAGAGCTTGGGAGCAAGAGAAAGCACCAAGATAGAGCACACCAAGCACCTAGCTCTTGGTTTTTAAATACCATTTTAGACTAAAAGGAGCAAGGATTCTTGGAGAAAGCCTGATTTGGGGGTTATACGACATGAGCCTGGAACTTATTGAGCCCAAAAAGTAAAGAAATACTCAAAGAACGTCACAC